AATTTTCATGATTGGAGACTGGTTAAGATTATATAAGAGATTGCATTAACAAAAGAGGTGGATGGCATTAACAGTTCTTTAATTTTATTGAAATAAAATTTCTGAAGAATTGAAAGATCAAAGTATTATGTGACTGCGCTCTAGATGTGGTTATATTGATTTGTTCTTATAATTACATAAATTGAAAAAACGAATATAACAGAAACTTATCAAGATAAATCATCTTTATAAAGAACTACTGAAACGGTTAAAAAACCAGTAAGTTATATAATATATTTTTTTAATTGAATATACAGTATGCTAACTAATAAATTTAAAAACAAAGGCAAACATTCTAATGAAACCTTCATCTATCATAAGTCTTCTAAAAAAACTGAATTGTCAGTAAATTCATTAATTGAAGAACAAGAGAAGCTTTTAAAATTGAGAATAAAAAGTGTGTGATTTGGAAGGATAAAAATAACAAGTTAGAAAAAGAAATTATGTTGAAAAAGAAAATTGTCGTTATTATTTTTTTAATCAACTTTGCAAATACGAAGTAAGGTATGCCTAAATTATTACATATTTAAAGTGAAACTTTTTTTAATTTATTAATTATTGTTATATTTAACTACGTAATAAATTAAAATTATCTATCATTATTATTACATAGTAAACTACTGTTTATGGTATTCCCTAAAAATAGTATTCCTACCACATAAAGTACTCCCCTTCTATTCAACATTAAAGATGAAGTTCTTGAATAAGATCCTGGATACTGTAGGCAGTGCAAACAGTATAATATAAATGTGTGCAGATGAAAGAAAACCTACCACCAGGATTTCAAAATTTATAATTTTACCGGTAACAATCACTAACAAATTAGATAAATTGAGTTCCCGTTTTCCTTCAACTGCTTTTGGCAACGATATTAATGTATCTGCTGTATTGCTATTCTTATCTTATTTTTATCAATACAATACAGTATGCATTTATATTTATTTAATAAAAAGATGTACTGTAAGAGCGGGAATACTACACAGAAATACTGTATATTTAAATACTATATAGTACGTTCAAAATCAAAATACAGCATGAAACTTCTACATCCCGGGTGTTTATTTATTATTATTTTTTTTTTAAAAGGTGAGGTTGTGCCTCATATCTTTTATTAACAATATACTGATTTACAATTTTTATTCAAATTTATATACAGAACTATATAATAGAAGATCACAAGACTTAGACTATTTTATCTATAACCTAATCACTTACCTAAACCAACTGTGTCCTGTTCACGTATGGTTAGGATTTTTTGCACTTTGAACTATCCTTATTAGTATTCTATATATATTCCCCACATTACTTCCTTAAGCCACAAATATACTTCCAAATAGGTATTGTAATCAAGGCTCCATAATGGGGTTACTTCCTAATTTGGTGGTAGATGTTGTTAGTGTTCTCTTCAGATACTAGATTCACCATGTCTAACTGTCTTCTTGCCTGTTATCTACTAATGCCCCTTCTAGACTTTTCTTTTTTCTTCAAGGTATTAGCCTTCGTGGTTCTTATAATCATTTATTTGTACTTGTATGCTGTGTTTTTATTTTCAGACAGAAACTTCCATAGTTGGTTAGGTATGGGCTATATTGTATAATGAGGTTACTTCCAACAGAATTTTGTAGTATTTGACTACTTCTAATTTGGATATTTTACAACTTGGTTGGTGTTCTAAAGTTGATGTGCCTTTACAATGCTATTATACCTGTTTCATACTATTTAAGTACTATCAGATTGGTTATTCTAGCTGTTTCAAATTTACATGTTTCCTAGATACAAACCTTTGCTCTATATTTAGAATCTTCTAATTTTAGTTTTTTCATACAAGCCGCTCGAGGTGCTTCCAAATTTGGTAAGGCTAATCCTTTACTACAGACCATTCTCATATTCACTATTTCTCTCACTACTCCAGTTTTAGTTATTGTTGTATTACTCTCCCAATTAAATCTAGTACTGTAATACCAATTTAGGACTTAAATGCGCAATCTGGTAATTACTTTCTTAATCAAATTTCCTACAAATTAGCTGTTGGAATGTTGGTGTTGCTTAAACTGGAAGTATAAGGATGTTGTTGCTGCCTGCCTACAAGGACTTACTTGCGTGATCTTCAATAACTTTAACCTTCTATAATACTGCTGCTACATGTAGTACCTGCACTTCATGATTAGGTCTCTTTCTGAGAATTCTTAGTCTAATTTTGTATTTGCACATAGACTTCCACAGGGCTTCGCATTCAATTTGGCTCCAATTGGTTACAGTAGTAAATTAATATTTTGCCACCAGCCCGACTCGAACCATTAACCTTGTCTGTAGAGGTTTGGGAGCTTAACCAATAAGCTATGAGACCAAAACCCCATTCTGGATGTTTATAGAGACACGAAAATATAATTTATTATGATGCAAGATTTTTTTAATGATAATAAATAAATAATTTTAATTATAAAAATATGCAGATATTTTTGGACTTTTAAAAATATACAAGATTCAGATTCAAAAACCAAGCCAGTTTCTTAATGTTAATTCAAATAATACATATTTTTTATGTTCGTAACAATCTTATATTCATTATAAATTATTTAGATAATATCTTTATAAAAGATGGTATGACAGCTATCGTTATTTGATAAAATTATTAAAATGTATAGAAAATTAATTAAATAAAGTTCAATAGCAATAATTCTCTTAGAAGATTTTGAAGATACCCAAATAAAAAAAATACAATGTGAAGATGATGGTTATATGCAAAAAAATAAAATATTTGGTGAAATATCTGAAATTACTTTTCAGAAAAAGATGCCTTGGTAATTTCTATCAAAATTATTAATTTTTCGTAAATATGTCAAGTTCAGTAATAATATATTAAAGAGGTTCAAAGTTAAAGTTCAGAAATTTTATTTTGATAAAATAAGATAATATATTTATTATCAAATAGTTATTTATTTTTAATTAAGATCTGAATACACTTATTTTTTATTGTAATTATTTCTTGTTAATCGATGCTGTACTGTATTATTTCTATTCTTAGCATGCCTAAAATTTTACATCGACATCAAATTAAGCATGTCAATCATCTTTTAAAAGCACTTATCAATAAATACTCAACTAGTTTGAATAAAACTATTACTAAAGTTCTAGATAAAGAAATTGTTGAATTATTAGAATTAATACAAGCTATAGAACTGAATCAATGTATAACTTTATGTGAAAGGACAATAAAACCTAATAGTTTATCAAGTTTTTTTGTTTAATTACAATGATTATAAATTATTAGAGTTAGTAAAGAGACATTCTGGTACATAAAAAGTTTAATTCATAACAATTCTGATTTTTAACTGTTTACAAAAACCAGTCTGACAACAATTGGCTGCAACTTCAGAATATTTAAGTTGTTTTAATAGACAATTTGTCAGATAGTAGGGTTTAGAGATTGGCACTGTGGTTAAGTATACAAAACATTTAGTAACAATTATTAATTCAATTGGAAGTACTTATATATAATTGCCTAATTCTATTGAGTAATAACAAAGTAATAGTAAAATAGAACAATTATTTGGATTTATAAGTTGTATTAGATTTTTTAGATAGAAATAATATTGTATTTAAATACAAACTAAAGGTCTGTATTAGGTCTTGTAGCCCAGCTTGGCTCAAAATAATCTGCAAAATTTTGCAAACCAGGCCAGATTTTAACAATTAAATCTTGTAAATATGAGCTAGGCTGTGCTAAAAAATTTTAATACATTTATATATTAAAATATACAATATATTAAAGAGGGGGTAGTATTGGTATTCTTCACATTTGGTATTTATACCCCTAGTAAAAATAAAATTTTTTAAAATTTTGAGCGAAGATATTTGAACCACCACCTAATCAAATTTAATAAACTTTTTTTATTTGAATTTTATAAATCCATAGAATTCAAATAAAAAAGTTTTATTGAATTTGGTCGAATAGTTGTCAAAATATCTTCGCTCAATGTTAGAGAAAAATCAAAATACCGATAATTCATTTTGATACATCTCGTTAGGCATATAAATATATATATCCTAACCTAGAGATATTAATTAAAATCAGTATTCAAAAGTTGGGATATTTTATTAATGCGCAGTAATAATAGTTTGAATTTGTCAAAATTAGTAAATAAAATTAATTTCAGAATTAAAATTTATTAACATAAGTAAAATTATATTAACCTAAAAAACAATGTCTAAAAAAAATCTTTAAAATGCTGCAAGAACAAATAAGGCTTAAATACATGAGAAATAATAAAACTGCTGAACTAGAACTAGTAACTAAAGAAAAATGTGATGCATCCTTCACCATATAAGTAATTCATAAACTAAATAATTGTACGCTTCATAATTGTATAAAGCAAAAAATAGTACCAATCCCAATTTAGCACTTACTTGAGCATTTATTATAAATTACTTTGTTACAGGCTACAACAAATTATGTAATTACGTACCTCATTAAAGTTTGTATGAACTCTTTTTTTAATTGATTATAAATAAAGACAACAAATTGATAACAAAAATAAAAAGGCTAAATTTGAGATTTTATTAAAACAACCCACAATCTGAAATTTAAGTATCGTAATAAATAATTAAGGATCCGACTATAAACTATCGTCGTTTGCTAGTTTTACTTTTATATTCACCCTACTCCTTTTCACATTTATCGTTGATGATATATTGATTAATAAAAGTTTTCATAATGGTACTAGTGGCGCTTTAAATGCGCCGACACGTTCTGATAAGATTTGTAACAAATCTTAACTATCAGCTCCTGTAAAGAAATTTGTGCTGGAATCAATTGTAGGTCTACATAAATCCTCTTGCTAAAAAGATAAATTATTTCAAGAATACAGTATATTGCAACGTAGGACAGTGACTTACGTTGTGTCACGTAATATCGATATAATGTAGTACGTGAGAAAAAATTGTACGTATTAATCGATGTTATGTCTTCTTGTGATCACTGCAAAAAACGTTTTTTAGGATACCCAGAAACGTTCTGTAGAAGAAAATTTAGACCTCAGCAAGAATGTGAAAACCCGGCCATTCGGGAATTTCTTCAAGATATCCAAAAAAACTCGGCATTTTGTAATAATTTTATCGATTGGGTCCCAGATACTGATGTAAATTATGAAAAATCACATAGAAAGAACGAATTTTCAGAGGTATTTCTGGGAAAATGGATGCCATTATCGAGCCTAAATATTGTTCTTAAAGTTTTAAGAGATTCACGAAATATTGACCATAAGTTTCTTAATGAGGTAATGAAATCTTTTGCCTAAAATTTATATATTATTTAAATGCCCAGTTATTAATATTATTTATACTCGTAGTTCAGAATACATCATCAATGCCTTGGAAAATGTGCTATACCTTTCTATGGATTAACATTATATCCGAAAACTCTGGATTATGCGATGATAATGAAGCGTGCTGTTCATGGTGATTTATGCAACTATATTCATACTCATAAATTTCAACTCTCATGGGCAGAAAGAATAAAAATACTTGTAAATATTACAAAAGCTTTAGAGCATCTTCATAGTCTAGATTTGATTCATCACGATTTTCACTGTAAAAATATTCTTGTTGATGAAGATGATAAAATATTTATTTGTGATTTTGGGCTTTCTCGGGCTATAAATTTACAAACAGGTAGCTTTTATGTTTTCTGCTATGAAGCTATTTTCGATAAAACGGATACTTAATAATAAAGAAGACAATCTATAACGAAATCCACTCGACATAACAGATTTCTGAGTTGATCTGTCATGTCGGGCGTCACTGTATATGTACAATACGATTTACTATTTATAATATTAATCTCCATTGCACTTTGTCAGATACGGGAGAAATTGTAGGTGTTTTGCCTTATATTGCACCTGAAGTTCTCCGTGGTAAACAATACACAAAAAAATCAGACATTTATAGTTTAGGTATAATCATTTGGGAATTGACTTCATTCACTCGCCCGTTTAATAAGGAATTTCATGATGTTAATTTGGCTCTTAAGATTGTAATGGGCGGTCGTCCTGAAATCACTAATGATACCCCAAAACCTTATAAAGTTGTAATGGAAAAATGCTGGGATAATGATCCATTAAAAAGACCAGAAACATCAGAATTATTACAGATATTTAACGATATGCCAAATGATTTGCGACAGAATATAGAAACTATTCAGAGTTTTAGATCCAATGACGAACAAGGTAAATATCTATTTTTTATCAAAATTTGAAATTAAAATGATTATAAGTAATTTATTTCTTTTCAGATACTCCCGTTGCTGATAATCCAACAAGCTTAAATATGGGTAATTACATTCTATTAAGGTTTTATCTATGATTACATATTTTAAGGTTTTCAGATCTGATTGCTATATTATAGACTATCAAACAAGACAGTTTGATATTGACATAAGACTAGACAGTGATTCTGACATGTATGAACAGGAATCAGTACGAAATAATGGTAAAGCAGTTTTATAGATTCATGTCAATAATTGTTGCGGCTGAAGCTGGAAACGGCTGAAGCTGGAAATTTTAAATATTTTATTATGAAATTTTCAAAATTT